AGGAATAATTGGACACATTTCCGAGGACAGGGAATCCTACAATCTTTGGGATATAACAGAAAAAGCAGGTTTTATATGCCTTTGGCCTTATGCTGTAAGGGCCCCATTTTACACATAGCACTTCAGGAACCTTCTCATCCACCTACATCCTAGCACAAACTGCATATTTTCCATCTAGCGAAGGTAAGCCAGTGGCAACTGATTCTGAAGCTATTGTAGCTACCACCACCCCTTCAATCTTCCTCCATGCCTTCTGCCAGATCTCAGAAATTGTCTGGTAGTTCCTTCATCCACCAAATCTTCCAGTGTTCACAGAGGTGTCTGCTCTGCATTATCGGCACCCAGGAGATTACCCATTTAGAGTTCAAAGCCTTCCAAGAGGCCATCCGTTCTATTCAGGGCAAAGAGAAAAAGAGGGATGACAGCCATGTTGGCTTCTTGATTCTGGTTCCAGCAGCTTCAGTTTTCTCCACAATGGCTTTTCCAACCTGATAGCATCAGTTTCATTGTTGATGGGCTCTCCAGTCCATATTGTAAGAGGAGACCCATGTTAATATTTGATGGCAAAAAACCAGGAGTTGGGTAGGGTGCTTTCCTACTCTATTTTTTTTTCTTATGCCTTTTAATAAAATTTGTTAGTCAGAAAAGCTATTACCAGATTCCTGATTTTTTTTTGGTCTCCAATCCATACTATCCAATCCTCACCAGTTCCTCATAAATCAGATATCAGAAAGGAAGGTTCAAGACAGAACACCCTTAAGATATACTCTTTTGGACTGCCCTCTTATCATCCACTTTGGCTCAGTCTTAATCTTAATCTCAAATCACTGGGATCGTAACTGGTTACCACATACCACATATTGGCCTTCTGTTCTACACTCTTCTCACGCTCCATTGCCTAATCATGCCTTGGACCAATAGCTTTTGCAGTTGTTGTTCTCTCATCTTCAAAATTGTTTGTTCTCCAAGATACTCATTTGAGTCAGATCTTATATCCAAGTTCCAAACTCATATGGCCACTTGCTCAAAGATCATTGTCTTCTCCTTAATTAGGCTTGAATATAGTGAGGCCACTTCAGAATTTATCCACTCTCACTGAGCCACACTTATCGTAGTGGAGTTCATGCTGATGTCTCTGAACCTGATGATTATGTCTCTGATGCCTTCTCATTCTGTGTGACATCTCCTTCAACCTCTTGGGGTGCTAAGGTTGAAGACTAAACACCCAGTTCTCTGAAAGCCTCAATTCCCACAGCAAACAACTGATAAGATAGCATATTCTGTCTTGGTCTTGAAGATCAGTAGTTTTCTCAAACAGTAGACTGGAGTCAGTACTCTGGTTAGTTCAAGATGCTACCACATTACAGTTCTAACTGATTCTAATGTTTCCAGTCTTGCTGAAGACAGCAGGAAACTCCTAGGTATAGCCACCTTCTGTTCCCTCTCTTTTTTTTACCCACTATTGAAGCATTTATGTGTCCCTACTGCTTCTGCTCTGGATCCTCTCCCTTGTTCTCTCTGTTAATGTTGAAATCTCTGTCTCATTACAAATAGACAAGACCACATATTTCCCATTTTGGCAGTACTTTAAAACTGTAGATTAAAAGCACAAAAGCATTTGTAATTAAAAAATACAAATTTATATGATCCCAAGGGACTTTAAATAGAAGCTACCCCAAACGCTTTTGTCAAATGTTTTTATTTACCTTGGAAATAAGCTTTGAAAAATGTGCAGGCCACCACGTATAACTTGGATCAATTAATAAATTGACACTTACATTTTCCAGTTAATTTTAGGCTGAGTTAAAAATGAATAAATGGTTTTAAGTTATTAATGTATTGTGTGCTTTATATTTTCTGAGTTTGGACAGTCCAGATTAATATGAATAAGTATGTTACTAGTTTTGCCTAAATGTCCCATCTAGCTCAAAATTGTATATTCTAGTGGTTTAATTCAATATATTTCAGTTTTAATTTTTACTTGGTAAGGAAGAAAGTGAATAGCTTTAGCTGAAATTATAAGCTGTTGGGATGCAGATTTGGAATAATTACTGTTTGTAACTACAGAAGAATTTAGTTCAAGAGGAATGGCTGTGCTAACTATTCTCAGTGTGTGTTGTTCCCAAAAGTTTGTTCTTCTGTAACATAAATTTTCAGTCTACATTACTGTCCAAATGAAAGTCAGTCTTGTACTATCTTGAAATTTTTATTTTGCTAAAATGAGCATTTAGCAATACTTCTACAATTAATAAGTCTAGAGAGATTGTCTGAAAGTTGTTGGTATGCCATTAAAAACATTCCCACTCATGAAATATTGACTCATCACAAGTCTGTCTGATGTTTCTTGCTTGTTTTGCATCTAAAACAATAAAAGACTGTCTTTTTGTGGCTGTGGACTGTACTTTTAAAAAAAATTGTTTTGAGGCTTCCAAGAGTTGATACCACTAGAACAGAGCTAAAATGTTCAGCCTATTTTTTGGTGTTGAGGGATGAAGTTATTTAAAATAGATGTGTTATGTCTGCATGCTGTTCAATTTTAGTGGTACAGCCCTGGGATCCCTTGGTGGGGAACATGTGTGGCCCATGAAAGTTCAGTTTTTCAACATGAAAAGGAAAAATGAAGAGTTACTTTGTAATACATAATGCAGCCTTCTGTTTCTTGAATACAACATCTAAAATCCCCAATCAGATAGTAATGAATAATCAGTTGTCTTTTGGATTTGACTAATTATGTTCCATCAAGTTGGTGTCAACTCCTAGCGACCATATAGATAGATTTTCTCCATGACAGTGTTACCGCTTTACAATAATGATGTTATGGTGTTTCTACATTTAATCTATTTCTTTTAATCACCTGAATGGAGTTAAAGAGCTAGTAAATCAGTTACCTTCATATGGTGGTTAAGTAATGGTAAAGTAGTAACTATCAGGAATGAAAAAAATCATGTTCAGTTTATACTTATCCATGTGTGCATGCACATGTGTACAATAAATTTCACCCAATTCAGTATGGGCACATTTTAAGTATTTGGTCTTTATAAGGGCCGCAAGCAGTATATAACATTTCAGTATGGCAATATACATGAACTGGAAGTGCTGTCTTTTTAATATTTTTTGTGTGATCAACATTCAAATACAACAACACTGATACTTCTAAGTAATCTTTTTCCCTGAGAGAAATATACTATCTCTGTTAATTTAAATACACACATTGAAAAATATTGTATACCTTTTACATTATTTAGTGTTTATTTATTTATTTATTGCTACTCAAATCCTTTTTTATAATGCAGATGACAGTTCTAATTGTGGCAGAAGGTACAAATCATATTAAGAGATTTAATTAAACTAGTATAGCGTATACATCTCCAGAATATCAACAATAGTAATTAAGTGGGGAAACTTCATAATAAATTCTACCAAGATATGATGATAATATAGCAGATTGAATTCCAAGAGTTTGATTGTAGTAAAATTGGAATTGAGTTTGTTACTGGTTTTTTAGTTGTGTTATGGATGAAAAACATTTTTAATATTTATTACCATAAACTGCCCAAAGTTTGGGCAACTGGACAGTTTATAAATATATGTAATAAGTAAATAAAATTTCTATAATCAGATCTGAAGCACCTCAGAATTTTGTTTGATCAACCTTCTGAATAAAAGGAAAAGTGTCCTACAGAATGATTTGCAAATTTTGTAAGTGTTAAGACACATTTAATCCCTCTGTTTAATTTCTCCAGGATTCAGAAAATAAACTGTGACATCTATTGTATGGGTATTTCTTCCATATTAATAATATGTTTTATGATTTAAACATATATTAAAATATATCCATTAAACATAAACATAGTGGTATTTATTTTAGAATAATAGATTTTTCTTAGTATAACAGACTTCATATTTATAGGTACTGCCTAATGTCTTATATAGTTCCACTTTCTCTGGAAACCTTCCAGGAGAAAGATTTATTGCTTTGTAGCTTCCTAAGTAGCTTTTTGGATAATATGTAGTCAATGAAACAATTTTTCTGGAATTATCATTTATTTAGTAAGTTTATTCCATACGAAAGGAACACACTAAATATTTGTCTTCCTTAAATTCCCATAGTAAGGCATTTATTATAGCTGAAGACAGGCTAAACATTAAAATAAGAACCACCTCAAATTAACTGTATCTTGAATGAGCATTGCATTTATATTTGTTTACTTAAGATTTGGTTAATATTACGAATTTCTTGTTGATCCTATTCTACATTTTTTCTGTTTGTGAATACAGAAATTCTTTTCTTTGTATTCATGTTAGATTTTTTTAGAACCCCTGTAATTTCATTATCAATCTTAATGGAATCCTGATGTTTGCAAAATCATCACATTATTGAGGGGGAAAAATCTAATCCCACTAAACTCTGATGTAAACTGAGCAGGTTCAGGAGGCATGGAATGTGGACAGATTTAGGGAAAATAACAAAACTGGGGGAGGGGCAAAAAATGAAATATTATGAAAAAAATGCATGTCTAGCTTCCTAAACAGATTTTTGTAAATCCCAAAAAGAAAGTTGTTCTGAACTTTCTCAGAAATCACTACAGGAGGCCATAAGTATTTTGAATGTACTCCTGGTTCATTTCGTGCTAAATCAGGGACAAGTGGTCCACATTTGGCCTTGGAGTGATATGATAGAGTCAAGTCAAAGAAATGGTTATAGCTAGAATAAAACTCAAATTTAAATTTAATTAAATTCCATTAACATCCAGTTAAATGAAATATCGTCAATACAATTACCCCTAATGTGTTCAATAAATTCCATCTTGTGGTTTATTAAAAATTGTGACAAAGTTTGAAGGAATCCTGGAAGCTGCATCCCTGATTTTGAGGTAGGTCATAGGTTAAGAGGCCCTGTTCTGAATTATGGCTAGTTTGTTGAATTACAAAAACAATCTAAAGCATTATGTTATAATAAAGCTGTTACCATTATGTGGGATGTCTGTTTCTCCAGGTGGATGGAAGTCTGCCTAGATGAAGAGTTACCACCCACCACTGAACTGGAGGAAGGTTTAAGGAATGGTGTCTACCTTGCCAAATTAGCTAAGTTTTTTGCACCAAAGTTGGTCTCTGATAAGAAGATCTATGATGTAGAACAGACACGTTACAAGGTAAAATATACATACAAGATTTGAGTAGTATATAGAAAATGATTTTCTAGTAATTAATGCTTCATATTTTTACTGTAACAGCATATACCTATTTAAGATTATAGTAAGTTCTTCATATGTCTCAAGATTAGGCCTTGGCACCAAAAGCAAATTTCAGGATTAAAACACTGTTAACTTTGATATTTTTGCTATTTCTTCTGCTTGAAACATAGAATATATTTAAAAAATACATACAGTCTCCTCTTTTTAAAAAAAACTGTATGCAACCTTCCTTTATAAAATGTAAAAGGAAACTCCTCTTCCACTCAGCAAAGATTTAAAAAGATGCTTATTCTGCATATTAATGTCCATATAGCAGATTTCTTCAGCCTTGTATTTTCTAGATCTGTTTATGGATAAGGCTCCTAACTCTGGTTGGGACTGTAGCTTCAACAACTTATAGTGCACTAGTTGGGGAATGCTGGCATATGACGGAGAGGTGGAGGTGCTTCAAAACCAATTCTGCCTCCTGTTACTTATCCAACAGGTGGAAATTAATGTCCAGTAATTTCCACCTGTGTATGTTTTGTGGATTTTGGCAGCTTCCAATTTGCATGTGGCATCTACACATTTCATGCAATATTAATTTAAAATGCTTTTTAATTTTTTTTAAATTTTTGAATTGTCTGCATTGGATGCACCAAAAGATTTTTAAAAATAAAGAATTGTTCTGTTTGTTCAAAATTAGTGATTCTTAAACCATGGCTTTTGGAGTGACCTAAAATAAGAAGTTGAGATATAATAAAACAAATTCTTTAAAGTAAGCAGTCATTCATCAGAAATTTGAATTAAAATGTTCGATGAAAGGAAGTGCTTTATTTTACCTAGTACCAACAAATGAAACAATTCTATCAGGTGATAGACTTTGGAGAAGGATTTTCTAAAAGGATACTATAGTATCATCAGATAGTAGAATCATCACCTTCTGCCAGATAAGTTGATACGTTTCTCACAATGCTCTAGTTTTGCCAAGGCAGCTGTTATCATGCAGAACATGAGTAAACATCCGTCTACTTCAAAACTGAAGTTGGTATTGTTGGATTAAATGCTTGTAAGCTGTTTCAGAAGCCTGACAATAGAACCAATGAGAAAAGCCAATTATTTGATGCTTCCTTGTATAAGCCCTTGAAAATTTAAGTAATAGGCTTGTGGAACTGACTTAATATTTTTATTTTATTTTATTTTATTTTATTTTTTCTGGTATTTCTATGCCATTCTTCTCACGAACAGCTCCGAACTTTGTTTTTAGTGGTTGGAAACAATGGAAATTCTTTTTTCTTCACTCTTTATTATTTATCTTTATTGTCACCCTGAAGAATGTTAAGTGACTACATGTTTATAATAAAATTTTAAAAAGAATTTTTTTAATTTAAAAGAAAATTAAAGTTTTAAATTTTAAAAATCTAAGATTAAGTTTGCTATACGATGCTTAGTTCCTTGCTTGGGTGGCATAGTTTAATATTACGTGTTCCTGGATAATCTGCATAATTTTTATGATTAAAAACATTGAATTATAAAGCCATAAATTTCTCTTAAACATCCTAGAACTGATTTTGCTTTACTTAATTCAGATTTTGATTTTTTTTTTAATATGGTTAAACTGAAGTTGAAGTAAATTAGGATTTCTGCATAAGTAAGTTAATTATTATATATCTTCATTTTATTATTTTTGGAAATACAGGTAGTCCTCAACTTATGACCACACTTGGGACCAGAATTTTCATTGCTAAGTGATGTGGTCATAAAGCGGGATGCCATGTGACCACATCGCTTAGCAATGGCAATCCCAGCAGTCCCAGTTGCTGTTGTTAACTGAGAATCGTGGGTTGTTAAGTGAGGTACCCACCCCAATCTAAGACATTCTGGGCTTGGTCCCTCCCAGCCCTGAACCTCAGTAAGGCAAGGGACTGCCTCCAACTCTCTCCACCCGACTATCTGCCCCCAATCTCTGTCCTTCTGGCTGCACTGCACCCTGCCTTGTGGGGAGGCAAGCAGCCCCAGAACCACATGGCTCTGGAGTTGCTTGTCATGTCCCAGGAAGCTGCAGCCACCCCAACCCAGTCCCAGTTGCCCTCGCCACCCTACATTCCAAGACCCATGCTGCCCTGTGCTCCACTGCCCAGCTGACTTTCGCCATCTTCTTGTTCCCACTGCTGACAAGGTATACCTGGCCTGGTTGCTGGGCCAGGCCGGACTGAGCTTCTGCTGCAGGAAAAAAAAAAGCCAAAAGCAGCCCCAGAGCCATGGGGTGCCAAAAAGCTCCTGGAGCGTGGCACACCAAAAAGCTCCTGGGGCGCAGCGTGCCAAAACATCCCTCTGTGCAGCATTCCTGGGTGGGATGGGGCTTTTGGCTTTTGCTTCATGCTGTGAAAAAAAAGCCAAAAACAGCCCCTGAGCAGCAGCACGCCAAAACGCCCTTTGCACCGTGCTCCTGGGCAGGGCTGGGCTGGGCCTTTGCTTTGCACTGTGGAGAGAAAAAAAAAGCAAACAACCCCGCCCCGCCCCACCCAGGAGAGTGGTGCAAAGGGGTGTTTTGGCATGCTGCTGCTCAGGCTGCTTTGGGCTTTTTTTTTTTTTTTTGGTAGGGTGAAGGAAAGGAAGACTAGGAGTAGGGGGTAAAGAAAAATCTTCAGCTTTGAATCTGCTAAGCTGTGCAAAGGGGTGTTTTGGCATGCTGCTGCTCAGGCTGCTTTGGGCTTTTTTTTTTTTTTTTGGTAGGGTGAAGGAAAGGAAGACTAGGAGTAGGGGGTAAAGAAAAATCTTCAGCTTTGAATCTGCTAAGCTGTGCAAAGGGGTGTTTTGGCATGCTGCTGCTCAGGCTGCTTTGGGCTTTTTTTTTTTTTTTTGGTAGGGTGAAGGAAAGGAAGACTAGGAGTAGGGGGAAAAGAAAAATCTTCAGCTTTGAATCTGCTAAGCTCTCTAAAAGAAATTGGTTTTGTTTTGGCTAAAGATATCACCTTTAAGCTATTTTTGAACAGTGTTCTTGACTTTCATAGAATATAGTAAAAAGAACAACAAACACCCATGACAAAAAAACAACACCTAAAACGTGTGTGTGTGTTTGTAGAATACAGGTAGTCCTTGTTTAGCAACTGCCTCATTTAGTGACTGTTCATCGTTACAACAGTGATAAAAAGGTAACTTTACAACCAATGCTTGCATTTACGACATTTGCAGATCGGTAAAGCAAAGGAAAGTTGAAGTAAGATGATAAGCACAGTCACGGTTTCACTTAGTGACCACTTTGCTTAACAACCAAGTGGCCAGTTCCAATTGTGGTCACTAAACAAGGACTACCTATAATGTATAGCTCAGAGCTACTTGTTAACAAGACAGCTTGTCATATAATAGCTTAAAATATATATATATATTTTTAATCTGGTTTAAATACACTTTAAATTCTATGTACAAGGTAGAGTTAGGTACTTAGATGTTTTCTGTGTGGTCATTGAAATAAATGAGTAACCATCTTTGTCCCTGTCTCTTCTTTTCTTTCTTCCATTAGCGTTCAGGCCTACATTACCGACACACTGATAATACAGTACAATGGTTACGGGCAATGGAGTCTATTGGCCTACCAAAGGTAAGCATTTGAAAACTAAATACAGTGTAGCCATTTGTAAAGTACTTGTCTCGTGTCAGAAATGCAGGAAGTAAAAAAGGGAAAATTGTTAATCTAAATTTTAAAAAATTGAAAATTTTAATAAAAGTATAATTTATATAATTCTTGCCCAATGCCGGGCCACATTGATGGCAGAAGTATTTCCAACCAGCAAGTCATTCTGTGTGCATGTCGGTCCCAAGGGATACTGTAAAAGATGGATAGTTGTTTGAATAGTGCCACATTCGCAGTAAATATCC